AATTAAAATTAAGTTTAGTTACGATACATATAAACTAACTAGAATTAATATATCATAATATACTACACACACACATACATATATATATATATATATATATATATATATATATATACACACGTGTGTTTATGGTTTATATATATACATACATAAACCGTTTTGAAACGTTTTCTTGAAGAAAACTACTTTATACTAGGTTCCTTTATTCTTAATCCCATTGAAACATAATGTTTACCCTTTAAGGTCCTTCTGGAAATATAAACAGAGTATGAGAAGGCAGGGTTGGCAAATCAGTCAACTTACTGATCAACTGACCACTTATTTTTTGACCAGGTAAAAATTAGTTAAATAATTTAATATTTGTAGTAAACAACATAAATACCCATATACTAAATTAGGTTTTTTATTAATTTTTAGGCCCCAAGTCCTCCCACTGCTTATGAGCAAAGGGAAGTCTTCTAATTACACCACTACTAACAGATTTCAAAATGACTAAGTGTTCAATCCAAAAAAATAAAAAGCTATCATTGTGTCATAGCCCACTACTTCTTATCTTTTTATATATTTTGTAAATGTTATATATATATATATATATAATGAAAGAGTTTCTTTGTTTTGAGTTTTCTTGAATCATGAGATTAATCTTGGGGAATATTTCCAGCCATATTATCAGTAATTCTGCACATGTACAGAATGAACTGAAAAGTATAAGATTAATTTTTATCCAGGTCACACACAAGTATAGAATATTATGCAAATATCTGTAGTAATTTATATTAAGTTTTATTAACATAAATAAATATTGTTAATTTTTAAATGACCTGGAAGATGATAAGTATACTGTTTGAATTCTATTGTATTTTAAGGTTGTAGCATTTTGGTAATATCATGTTTTGTACTTACAAAGAAACTTGGAGATTCAATATTAGCTGTAAAGCTTAATGTACATACAGCAATATTAAGCATGTAATATTTCATTCAAATGAGCTACATAACTATTATAATTACCATGCCATATCATGTATATAAAATGTTAAACTTTTCTGTTATTTTTTGAATTTTTATAATTACTTTGTACTAATCTGCAGTACTGTCTTTCTTCAGTGTTGCTACTTATATACACAAAGATAGTTCTTTTTGTATTTTTTTCCAAGCAGTGTACCTACCTTGTTCTGTTACTTCTTGGGCAATCATTATGACACTAGTGTTGGTTCTTTCTAAAGTCACAACATAGCGAGAGTCTGGAGAAATATGAGGTTGACCAAACAGGTTAATCTTATGGGATATGACAGTATCAGTGAGATAGTCCAATACAAGCTGCCCTGTAGGTCGATGGGTGATCGGTTCAATGCATTCCAAAACAACGTAGCCTCCTGTTTAAGCAAACAGTAAGTTTAAGGTAAAAAAGAAGTCTGGTGTTTAGCTAGTATATATAACATTAAAAACTTTGGCTCTTACCTGTTTTCTGCACACAAAAAACTTTTTTTTTATCTGTGAAGAGCATAAAGATTTACAAACCTTTAAAATCTTATGTACTTAAGTTTAAAATTTAGCTTTTACAACTAACTACTGTGCTTAATAGTGAATATCAAAATATTAGTGCTTTAATCCTATGTATATTACACAGGGTGGATTTGCATCCCACTATACTACAAATCTTTATTACTGTCACACACAGTAACTTACTCCCTTACTGTAAACTTCTGTAACCATAAATCTATATCATTCAATCTCTGCGTGTTTTGCATTGTAAGAGATACATCCCAAGAATGTTTTGGAAATTGAGAACATTCTAGAAGCAGTTTGAAAAAGCAACCTCAATTAATTACCATTGTTTACTGTATAGTTAAGAAAAAGACTACTAATACTGGTTCTGCAGAAATGGCAGTAAATAGATGACCAAGCTGCTGTTAGGCTTGAATTTATATGGAAAACTTGTTAAGAGAACTGGCAAAAACTTCTCAAAAGTAAGCCTTTTTAGTTAATATGTTAGACTACAAAAAAGGTTTGTAAATAAACAACAACAAAAAAAAAGATGAGATAACTTTTGAAATTTTTAGGAATTCATAGTCAAAATTTACAGATCACAGCTTGCTTGCAGCTGCAGTGTAGACCTAATTTATTTTATGATTATGGTCATGTTGGAACAGATTTTGTTTTCTTATACCACTGAAAAATTAGAGCTTCAGCTATCATTGTGTTGGATTAAGTGATTGTAGAATACTTTAACTGTATTTCTCTAGCTAAAATGAGTTCATACTGCAGTCTCAACATTTCATGCACTATTCACCAGACAACACTTTAGACTAATAACTTTCACAGCAATAATTATAAATTTCAATATCAGTATCAATCATATATAACATACAGGCATATAAACAAAAACAACCACAATACTATGTAGAAATCATGATTACTGTGTTTATTCTTCAGTTTTCAAAAGAAAATAAATGAGTTTAAGCTGTTTTATATTCAACTATATTTGCTAGACTGATGAGCTTCAGAATTACTTATCTAATTCTTTCCCTACCAAAAGCAGCAAAAGCTGCATTGTGAGGTTCACAGTTGTAAGGAGTTAAGTCTACAGTTTTCACATATTTCATCCCTTTTAGGTGTAGTTTGTACATTCCACGCTGATTGGTATGAACTACAAAGCCATACTTCCATGGATGTTGAAGTTCTTGGGTGAGAGGGATGAATAATTCATTCACCTATATTAGAAGCAATATTTACTATTATGACAAAATAAATTGTATTTCACTTTCAACTAATTTATTTTTTGTTTCTGTTATAGAAATTAGGTGACACACAAACTGACATAGCAAAAAATAGACCTGCTTTTTTATTCACCTTTCACAAACTAACATTTCGACTTTGTGTGAAGAAAGATTATTCAAACAAATTTACTTAACTAGTAGCTCTTATCATGTACTCTGCCGATAAAGACATTTATATATTGAGATGTGCAACTGATTATGAAAATAAAATTGTATTATGGGTCTTGAAAAATGTCCTAAAACTTGAAAAACACATGAGCAATAGCTTCTTAATAAAACAAAATTATGATTTTCTAATAAGTAATTTTGTAAAAGAATATATTGGGCCTGGAAAACAATCAATACATAATTTTCCTGAAAATTGACTGCTCTTATTAATCAAAACAAAAAGCAGTATTAAATTAAGTGTATACAGAAAGAAATAGTAGCCAGAGTATTAATTGGAAGAATAATAATTTTCTTTAATTTTATTTGTTTAGTAAAACAGTTTTAAATATGTAGATTCAGACTTACTAAGTCAAAGTGACCATCTACAGGTTCAGGGTGAACAGTATGGTGTTTCCTCTTTTGACTGGCATCACGAATAATTTGGATTGTTTTGGATCCTTGGTCCTCTGGACCTCTCCAGCAAGTAAGCCAAACTTGGTCAAGGTGGGGAACATAATGCACATCTACTGGATATTTATCTGTGACAACCACCTAAAAGAGTAATTCATGATGATCAGTATAAGAGCATATAACATAGCAAGCAAGACATTAACAAAGATCAATTTGAGCACTAAAATACGAAACATACACATTATTTTAAAGGAAAAGTAACACACATAAAATGATAAATTAGATGTTGAAAATATCAATAACCTAAATAATTTTGGTAATGTGTCCTTCCTTCTTCAAGGATGAAGTAAAGAATAAAGTACACTTCTAAGGAAAGAAACAATGGTTTTTAAATTCTAAAAAGGGAAGGTACAGTGGGGTAGGAACTGCTTTCATCCTTCAGTTACAAGTTAAATTTAATAGTCAGTATATTCTAAATCATGCTAACTCTGTTGCTACATAAAATAATAGCTTGATTTACAAAACTGTAACACATTACCAAATAAATAATTAAGCCACTGTGATAAAATATTTAAACTGTAATTCAAACAAAATTAATATACAACTGGAAATTAATATACAACTTTGGTTTTAGCAGCTGCTACAGTCTAAAAATTCTCAACTTAGCAAGCTGTCTGGTGCATGTTGTATACAATCAATAAGTAAAACTCAGTAAGTTCTAGGGTTTATTTACCTAATGACATACATTTAACTAATAATCCATACAACAATGAAGAGCTTCCATTTTTCATTTCTTCAGAATGTTTAAATAATTCAAGCTGCAGAAAAGTAGAAATCATGCAACTTATATTATTTATATCTTTTAAGCACAATTCTTTCACACGTTAAAGTCCTGATAACAATAACATGAGCGATAGATTCCTTCTAATTATGTCTCCACACAGAGACACACTGCTTTTCTATTGTTTCTTCTTCAAAACTCTTTTCAATATTCCTTCATTTCCAGGTGGATTGACTTGAAACTTGATAGGGTTATACAAATATGCCCAGATTTAGGCCTTTTTTAAGGATTTTATGGAATCAAAGGTGAAACAACTTCAAAATGTATATTTTGGGCTCCTCCGCTGTCTTATGTATAGCGATCAAAATGAAAATTATCACAAATAAATATTTTCATGCAACCAACACAATAATATACAAAAAAGTTGGATTTGCTGAATTTGAGTCTTTTGCATGAGATTTGGTGCACAAGTACCTTCTTGTAGGTCCCCAAGCAGTGACATAGACAGTTTTCAATTTTCTGTGTTTTATACAATTTTTCTGATTTCAAAATTGGTCATGTTGGGATTGCATAGTAGAGACATGCTGCATTTGCTTGCAAATGTTGATCTCTTTAATTCTTTATGAAAATTTCTTTCCCCCTTACCAACTAACTAATGATACATTTTATGAATTTACAGTATAGCGTATTATGAACCAACATGTACAAGGAGTTTAACTCTTTCACTGTGACTGGAACCTATATTTCCCACTGCAGTGATTGGGTTAAAGTCTTTTGAAGTTTTTTACATCCAATTCAATGTAAAAGCATATAATTGGTATACAAATGTGTGATATTCCTGGATACTACAATGACATAGTAAGAAAATATATACATACATCTACAACCACCATCTGAACTCTTGAGATGATTAAAATTCTGTCTTTAGTTGGCTGAGAGACATAAACATAACGGTTTGCCACATTTATAGCGCTTCCCCAAGAACAGTTAATGCCTCGGTCACCACATACATATTCCTGAGTACCAGGAATTATATCTGTACTCTGTATCTGGTGGTAGAGCCTACAGTTTTCTGGATCATAAACAGATACACCCCAGTCATGGAAAACAAAGAAACGTTTTTCTTCAAATGGAGCAGCTAAAAAAAAATATGGAAAGACTTATGAACCCTGCCAATACTTTTTAATTAGTCTATATATTTAACTTTCACTATGAAACAAACTTTTATGAATTTATTAAAACACTATCTAGAAATGGAAAGCAAGTAAATGGTATCATTAAAATCTGTAATTTTAAATGAAATAATAGTTGAGTTATCATATAAATAAAATTGTTTTAATTCCCCTTTTACCTTTGTTTTGCACAACTGCCATAAAATTTACAATTTTGTTTGTAGATGAAAAATGACATACAAAATATGGTTCAGTAGATAATAAAACCAAATACTTCCTATTTGTTGTTGAAATTAAGAATTAACATATTATAGGATATGCAAGCAAAGTACTGTAACAACTAGATAAAAACTTGTGATAATATAACATACATATACAGAGGGTTAATTACACTTTTATAACAACAAATTGCATAAGCTATTCCAGTAGTTTCTCATCACAAGTATAAATCCTGTCACCATGTTAATCACTTGCGTATTTGGTCTATGGAAAATTCCAGGTAATTTTAAAATGCAAGTAGACTTCTATTTGGAGAAATATGGCATTTATTTTTAATGAAGGTAAATATTCACAGAAGAAAGCTTCTAAACAACTTAACATTTTGAAGAAGGAAGCCTTCAGTGTTTTTCATAGGTGTGAAAATTTTCACACAGCAGAGCATTTACAGTAGCAACAGCCTCTGAAACACCATTGCAATCCAGTACACAACAACATTTTCATCCACAAAGTTAGTACAGTTATGAAAATAAACAACTTCCAACCCAAAAAATCAATGCAATGAATCAAAACATATATTCTGGGACTAATAATAAGAATTTAAGGTTGGTGAAGGCTTTCAAGCCAGAAGATCACAAACTTAGAGACACATCTTGAAACAACAGTGTGTTCATGACAGTGATGATGAAAGGAACCAAAATTACAACAATTTCATTTGAAACATACCTGTGATGTTGTACAATGCTATTTCAATTGACTTTTGTGCTTTTAGTCTTCTTAAACGTGGTCTTGAAAATCATCATCCATGTATAGTCAAGGGTATTTGGAAAGTTTATGAAAATGTGTGGTCTATTAAAGATGGAATTTGACATCCTTAATTGAACTTGAAACTGGTTGCAATGGAAATTGCATTATCTGGCAGAAGTGTATAATCATGACCGTGAAACTCAGCACAATCAACAAAGGAGAAAATTGTTCCAAGAGTAGTATGAAACCTTGAATATTGTTCTTATAAAGAGCTTATATAAATATATAATCCTTAACAGACATCTATAAATACTGTTACGACAGCGGGGGATCATGTGATGAGTATTCTAGAAGATTCGCTAGTGTGTTACGACAGCAGAAGTCAAGTGACGCTGGTAGCATGTGTTGAGAGTCTTAGAAGTTTCTAGAACAGGCAGTATTATCGTATATAAGTGCGCTAGACAGTGAGAGAGACAGGCGAAGCAGAGACGAAGCGGAATCGCAGTAGCAGAGATGAAGCAGGGGAACCAAGGACAGCGATTATGGTCGTCGGGAACCGAGGATAGCAGATACAGAGATCGGAACTATAGTTGAAGGAGACGGACAATTAAGTCAAGCACGGTAGAAAGTGAGTGAATTGTTGTGAAAATTAAGAGTATTAGAAAGTTGTATTGAGGAAGAATAAACAAGTTTTATTTAAGAAAGGACTTGTATCGTAGAATAATTAACAAACAAACATACAGAGACGTAACAATACTAAATCTATGCAGATTTGCAAATTGGTAGAACGACCTCTCATCCAAAGCTATCTTGACCTTGATTTGCCCTCTAAGCATTTCTAAAAGAATTTTTCACTAATAGCATCCCAGTCAATTATACCCCTATATTTTCGTACCATTTTAGAATATGTGTATATCATGTGACTATCCTCCACCAATACTATTTTAGTACAATTCTCACTTTCTCGATTTGCATACAGTTTATAGACACGTGTTTACTTTGCTTCATGTGCTTGCTTTTTCGTTGTGATTGCATTTCAGTATTTCACCAATTTAAACTTAATTACACAGGCCTGCAATGATTTTATTGTCTTGAAATTTTGAAAAGTTCTACAGTAATTCCTGTGCGCGAAATCCGAAAATGATATCCATTTTTCTCCATCATGCACAGATTTTTCACAAAACGTCATAACGTAATACATAAATGAAAGACCACATCACTAGTTTGAGACTAAAAGACGTAGATTTCACAAAAGAAATCAGGATAAATGAGGATGCATATTTGTTTGACATCAATGTTCTTCGCTTTTCTTCAGTTTCCATGTATTTTTGTTAACAAACATTATAATACAAAATATCCATTGTGGTAAACGAAATAATAATTTGATCTAAGTAAGTTTTTTCATCCTGATTTGTAAAAAATCCTTATGTGATAGAAGAAGTGAATATTATTTTCAAAATCTACGTAGCTGAATAATGGAAAATCCATTATTAAAACCAAAACAATTTTTTTATGAAGTTTAAAGTAGCAGACCTGTGTTATTAAGTGTTTGCTTTCGAATTTTGGTTTTGTTTTTCAAAGAATTCTTCCATAATTTGAATTCTAATTTGAAATATGAATTCCAATTTTAAGGTGGCAGATGACAAAGTTCCCGCCAATATTGAGGATTGTAATGTCTCTAGACCCAAGCAAGGTATTGTTACGACAGTGGAAGTCACGTGACTGTGGGAGCATGCGTGGTGAATTTCTCGAATAATCGTGGAACTCCGCGAATATTTGAGATGGCTCTTTGTTAGTAAATAAGCCTGGCAGAGAAAAGCCAGGAAGATAAAGTGAACAGTAGTTACAGTGAGTTTCGGGTAATTTACGATTCTGTTTCGAGCTAGTGTGTGTTTTGCATTAGTAGAGAGCAAAGTTATCGAGATTGTGAATCGCTGTGATTTATAGCGTGTATTATAAAAGTTGTTAAGGTTACAGTGACGAGAAACGTACTAACTGTGGAATTACTGTGTACTAAAAGTTTGTATCGAGAAGGAATAAACTGGTTTAATCAAGAAAGGACTTGTATCACTGAAGTTCCTCGGAAAGAATTTCTACCGGAATTTAACAAACAAGCAGATACATAACAAATTGGTTTCAGAGAGTGGGATGGAAAAAAAAAAGAAGATGGAAACGAGAAGTGGCAAATCAAACTACAGCTTAGCAGATTTGATGGCAGCAATACAAGAACAGCAAAAGAAACAAGAAGAATGAGAAAAGAAATAAGCAGCGAGACAACAGCAGTGGCAAGATAACCTACAACAGTGGCAGCTTGAACAGCAAAAGAAACAAGAAGAATGAGAAAAGAAATAAGCAGCGAGACAACAGCAGTGGCAAGAAAACCTACAACAGTGGCAGCTTGAACAGCAAAATAAACAAGAGAGATTACACCAGTTGTTGGAGGAAA